AAGCTCTCCCAGCCACCGCCGAGACCTGGGTTCCAGGCTCAGCGATGAGTCCAGGATCACTCCCAAGCTGCGAACCTGCGTCTTCAGGGGGAGTGTAACCCCGTCTAACACAGGCTGTAACCCTATGCCCTGTTTGGCCTTGCGACTGACCAGTAGGACCTCTGTCTTGTCTGGATTCAATTTCAATTTGTTAGCCCTCATCCAGTCCATTACAGCGGCCAAGCACCGGTTCAGGACGTGGAACAGCCTCCTTAGTAGCAGGTGGGAAGGAGTAACAGAGTTGGGCATCATCTGCGTACAGATGACACTGCACCCCGAAACTCCGGATGATCTCTCCCAATGCCTTCATGTAAATGATAAATAACATAGGGGACAGTATTGAACCCTGCGGGACTCCACAGTACAATGGCCGTGGGGTCGAGCAGGAGTCCCCTAGCGACACCTTCTGGGATCGCCCCACGAGAAAGGACTGGAGCCACTGCAAAGCAGTACCCCCAAGGCCCATTCCTGCGAGGCGTCCCAGAAGGATACCGTGGTCGACGGTATCAAGGGCCGATGAGAGGTCCAGCAGAACCAACAGGGACACACTCCCCCTGTCCAATTCCCGGCGAAGATCATCCACTAAGGCGACCAAGGCTGTTTCGGTACCATGCCCCGGCCAAAAGCCTGACTGCGCCGGATTTAGATAATCTATGTCTACCAAGAACGCCTGGAGTTGCGAGGCCACCACACATTCCAGGACTTTGCCCAAATAGGAGAGATTGGAAACTGGCCAAAAGTTGACAAATTGAGTGGGGTCCAGTGATGGTTTTTTCAACAGCGGTTTTATGACAGCTTGTTTTAAACTGGCTGGAATGTTGCCTTCCCGAAGGGAGGCATTAACCACCACCTTTACCCGCTCTGCCAAACCCCCTCTGGCTTCCTTGACCAGCCAGGATGGGCAGGGGTCTAGGATGCATGTGGTCGGCCTCGCCTCCCCAAAAATCCCGATGACATCCTCGAGTTGAACAGATCGAAACGAATCCATCAAAACTGGACAAGCAGATGCTTGTGTTACATCCTCAGAGACTGCCGTTAATGTGGTGTCAAAGTCTGAACGGATCAAAGCGACTTTGTCCGCAAAGTACTGAGCAAAGGCTTCACAGCGAGCTGCCAAGTCATCAGGGGACCCATCCTGAGAGGTGGGATTCAACAGCCCTCTGACTACTCGAAACAGCTCTGCCAGACGGTTCCTTGAGGACGCAATATTGGCCGAGTAGAAGGAATTTTGTGTGGCCTCTATTGCCACGCCATACGCCCTTAAATAAAGGCGCAGGCGTGTTCGGTTTGACTCGCTAGGTTCTTTCCGCCACACACTCTCTAGCCACCTCTTTGTTCGCTTCATCTCCACCAACTCCTTGTTAAACCAAGGAGATGGTTTAGTTCAGTGACTTAAGAGGGGGCGCTCCGGAGCAATCGTGTCTATTGCCCTAGTCAACTCATTATTCCAATGAGAGACCAGAGCATCGACAGAATCACCAACCGAGGCAACGGAAAACTCCCCAAGAGCCGTCAGGAGTCCCTCTGGATCCATAAGCCTCCTGGGGCGGACCATCTTAATGGGTCCACCACCCCTGCGGAGGTTAGAAGTGGCAGAAAGTCTAAACCTGATCAGGTGGTGGTCGGTCCACGGCAAAGGAGTGATTGACAACTCCTCCACACCGCCACCCTCTTCCCAACCCTGACAGAAGACCAAGTCAAGTGTGTGTCCAGCACAGTGGGTAGGGCCAGATACTAGCTGGGACAGCCCCATAGTTGCCATGGTGGCCATGAAGTCCTGAGCCGCCCCTGAAAGAGTGGCCTCTGCATGGACATTGAAGCCCCCCAGCACTATAAGCCACTCGGACTCCAATGCCAGGCCCGAGACCAACTCTGCAAGCTCAGGTAGGGCGGCTGTGGTGCAGCGGGGTGGTCGGTACACCAACAGCATCCCTATTCTGTCCTGGTCTCCTAGCCTCAGGTGGACACATTCAAACAGGGTCGACTGTAGGGCAGGGCCCCTGATCAAGGAGATGGAATCTTTATAGACTATTGCAACTCTGCCTCCCCGCCCCCCAGATCTTGGTTGGTGCTGCACAGTGTAACCTGGTGGGCAAAGCTGGGTAAGATTGACCCCTCCAGCTTCGTCCAACCAGGTCTCTGTGATGCACGCCAGATCTGCGTTTTCATCAAGGATTAAGTCCTGAATGGTTGATGTTTTACCATTGACAGACCTGGCGTTCAACAGCACTACCTTCAATCCGGGGGGACCGTCTACCTTGGTACCCAGATTTACTGGGGTTTCAGCCTCCAGGTCAGAAGGGCCGCAGGCAAAGCAACTCAGGGAAGGCAAACTCAACAAAGGGAAGCATTCTTGGAGGGAACCGGGTTCAGAGCCTCACCCTTTGCAAGGTGGGAATTTGGGGACAGAAGGAAAATATTACGGGGGAGAGGGAAGGAAGGACTCTTGCTGGGAGGGCAATGCACTCGTTTTGCCCCAGCCCCACAGCTACAGCCCTGCATGCACACACACATCCTTACACGTCTGTGCACTTTCCTCTTGCTCTTGAGACAAAACCTAATCCCCTTCCCAGCGTTCCTAACCCAAGAGTCTGATGGCAGCTCAAGGCCCTTGACCTCATCACCAAGGAGCAAGACTGAGGCACCACACCTTCATTCCTCCCCCCTCCCCTTCTTATACCTGCAGACCCACAGAGTCCCACCTGGTAATCCAGCATGAGGAGGAGGGTGCAGCGCACGCTGACGTCGCCGGGCCTCTTCACTTGGAAGCCGTCCGTCTCCTGGGTGGTGGGCGTCCGGTGCCACTGCCGGGGAGAAGACAAGACAGGCCGCTCAGGGACAGAAATGGGACATTCTTTTCCTGGGGGGGGGGGAGTTATTCATAACACGGGGCACCCCTGCCTTTGGGGATGTGGGGTTTAATCCCTGGACTGCACAAATTTCTCATGTGATCAAGTTTACAGACCTCAATGAGTAGATAGAATAGAGACGGGGCCAGGCTGAAGGATTCCCCCCCCCCCCATTTTCCCAAAAAGGAGCTGGGTCTTCTCTCTTCCTGCTTGCCACTCCCTCCACCCCCCCCCCCCTTTGAAGATGCAGCAATGGAATTCTGTGAGGGAACATCCTCTTTAAGTTTTCTTGCCCTGGGCTTGTGGCCATTCGCCATTTCTCCAGTCTCTTCTACCTTTTCTTCCTTCCACTGAGGACACATTTTGCCTTTCTCTAGGCAAAATGTAGCTGCATGGATCTTTATACCTTTAGAAGATGGGATTTAGTAAGCTGGTGAGCTCCAAGACCTTTTCAATCAAGAATATATTTCTTTTACTTCAATACTTTTGAACTTAAAGTTCTGACTGCAATCCTGTGTCATCCTAAGAAGCCTATCCCAGCTCATCACGTGTGAGGTTCTGATGGTTATGAAGTTGACTTCTAGTATTCTGCTCTATGTATGGTGGAATCACCCCAACTGAGGGTTATTTTGGAGCTTAACAGCTCAGATTCCCCAGCAGCTCAGCCTGAAATCACAACATCTCTTGGGCACAAGCCCACCCAACAGGAAGCCTTGTGAGGGGTGGGGGGAAATCCTCTTGGGCAGCGCCTAGTGACCCCTGCCCTGCTCCTGCCCTGTTCTCCCTGGGTTCTCCTGCATCTCCCGGGCTTCTCCTTCCTGCCCGTGATTCCAGCTGCTCCACACAGCGCCCAGGCCAAGTCCAGAAATTGTGGGGGAGGCCAAAGCACAGCGGTGGGCCGCCTTCCTTCCTCCTCCTGGGCCCCAGGTGGCCCCTTACCTCCACCAGGTGGTTGTCCGGCCCATAGAGGTCCTTGTCCAACTCGATGACCAAGCTCTTGAAGAAGGAGGAAAACTTCCGCTTCTGTTTACTGAGCTGCGGAGCCAAGAGGGAGGCAATGGGTCAGCACGGGTCAGCTTCCTCTCGCTGGCCTTGCCCTGCCCACCTGGCACCCTGTTCCGGTGAGTGACTGGCAGGATCAGCCCTGGATTTGCCCCCTCGCTGTCCCAGGATGCCCAGCCACAGAGCCAGGCACCTGTGGGGAAGCCGTGGGGCCTGCTGGTGAGGAAGAGGGCTGCCCAGGGCTGCAAAAGGGGCACAGCCCCTCCCCACATGGCCCCCACCCAGGACTACTTCTGCCTTGACCAGTGGGAGGGGGGTGGATCCTCCTGCAGCCCCAAATGGAGAGCAAGGCAGCCCCACCGCAAGATCAGAAAGGGGCCCAAGATGAAGGTGAGCCCCACGTGTGCCTCCATGCCATGCGTGTGCGGGCGCATGCATGCCTACGTCATCCAGGAGCTTCCCCTCCACGCGCAGCTCCCAGGAAGCGATGCTCCCGTCGGAGTCGTCTGCGTCAGACTTGGCCGGGTTAAAGGTGTTGGAGATGTAGAGGCGCAGCTTCCGCTTTTGCTGTCAGGAAAGAGAGCCAGGTGAGGGAGGGGCGGGAAGGGGGCTGGGGGGCCCAGTGGAAAAGCCTGCCCAGGGGACAGGCCCCTCCCTCCATAGGGGTGGAACACTCCCCACCTTCATGGGTCTCTTCAGGGCCTCCTGGATGTCCACCCGCTTCCGCATGATGGTCTGGTCAAGCTTCCGCTCAAAGGCCAAGAGGTCCATGTAGGCCTGAGACTCCGGCACCAGCTCCCGGATCTGGGCAGAGGGGAGGGGAGAGGGTCACTTGGGGAGGGGGGAGAAAGAGGGGGGAAGGAAGGAGGGCTGGCTGCTGGAGCAAGGCTTCAGAGGAAGAGAAGGCCCCCGGCTCAGCCTCCCCCAGCTCTGCATCCAAAGGAGAACAGTGTCTTGATCAGTCCCCCTCGCTCCTGCTTCGGTCAGATCATCTACCGGACAGACGGCAAGCTGTTTAACCTCAGCAGACTGAAAGCCAAAACCAAGGTTACAACAACATGTGTTATAGAACGCCAATATGCTGATGACAATGTCATCTGTGCACATTCAGAAAAAGACCTACAAGCCACTCTAAATACCTTTGCAGAAGCATACGAGAAGCTCGGCCTGACATTGAACATCGAGAAAATCAAAGTGCTCTTCCAGGAGTCACCGGCCAATCCCTCTCCAATGCCAGAAATACAGCTTAATGGGGGCTCAGTGGGTTAAACCCCCGTGATGACAGGACTGAAGACTGACAGGTCGCAGGTTCGAATCTGGGGAGAGGTGGATAAGCTCCCTCTATCAGCTCCAGCTCCTCATGCAGGGACATGAGAGAAGGCTCCCACAAAGATAATAAAAACATCAAATCATCCGGGCAATGTCCCCTGGGCAGCGTCCTTGCAGACGGCCAATTCTCTCACAACAGAAGTGACTTGCAGTTTCTCAAGTCGCTCCTGACATGACA